ACAAGCTCTATCAAACCATATATAAAAAAACGAATTTAATTTTCCACCCGATTTTTGCCCTTGGTGCATCTTACAAGAGTTGATCTTCACCATTATAACCACAAATCGAGAACAAATACGATTAATTCAAGGGCATCTCTTCTATCACAACGCCAGATATTAGATTTTACTTCTAGAATCTTAGTGAAAGATACTTCGATTATAATCAAATCATTGTGCAATAAAATCAAAATTATAAAGGATGTTAAAGGTTTTGACCACTAAAAATCTCGTATATCAATTATAATTTTGATTATGTTGCACAATAATCTGATTATAATCCAAACATTTTTCATTGGAATGCTTATGAAAAAACTCTCACTGTAGGCTCAGTTAGGTAGATCTAAAGATAGTTCAGATAATCTTATGAAAGAAGTGATCAGTGGCAGTCGTTGTCGACAACTATCGATATAATATCTATAGGGCATAATCAAGTGAATAATTGGTGTGAAAAATACTTTTGATGAAAGTTAATATTCTGATGGTCTATGCAAATGTGTGAAGTCTCATGTATTACATTTATTGACGGTCACACAACTTCAAATAACTACGTTACTATGTTCTTATCAACTGTTTTTGGCCGATCAGAATACGTAATATTTTGGTTATCACGAGTATTGTACAATGATATACGTTTCTCTTCTACTTCTTTCATTTTAGCTCAATATGTCGTCAAACGTTTCAATATGCTTTTTATCCAGAACTAGCGATTTCTAGGTAGAATTCGAGGTAGGCTGATATGGCTTCTTATAAGCTTTCCCTTACTCTGATCATACGCACTATCATGAATAATCATGCCATTGTCAAACTGCTGTCAAACAAATGGTGACAATTCTTAAACAATTGAGACCTTTTGTACGACGATTGTATCTTGGGCTTTATCGCTTACATTAGATGGATGCACTTAATTTGTATTCAAAACAAACTAACCTTTGAGAAGTATCTTCTTCCAAGGACACGAGAATGTAACGATCGATGAACTTGAGTAATTGACATTTAGCACTAACACGAGTACCAGGCATAAGAACAATTTCTTGCTCTTCAGGAAATGTCGAAAATGCGGAAATATTTTTGGCGCGAACAGCATCAATAGCAAATATAGTGCCCGTTTCTCCCAAATGCTGCTCAACAACCTTGAGATCCATCGAACATGAATTTATACTCCACCAAGTATGCACAAGACCGTCAGCGAACTCTGAGCCGACATCACCATCCACTCCTCGCCAAACAGTTTTTCTAGTTGATGGCAATTTTTCTAGAGCAGTTATAAACAGTTTTAGGAAGGCGAACCATGGCTCTAATGCATTCCGATTTTTAGCTCGAAGGGTTTCGTTAAGACGAGAACAGAAAGGTTTTGGCATTGAGTAAAGGTATATTGCCGCTGATTCGTCCCATGTCAATAAAATTGACCTTCGATTGCATTTGATTTTAGCTTCCGAAACATAATCTACAACACCAGAAACCAGTGGAATTATTTCTTTCGTAGCTTCTTCTAAGGTCTGAAGTGGGAAATGTTGATAACCGTCGATTGGACTGCAATTGGCTTCTTGAAGTTCTGAGATAGTATTGTTTACCAAACGATCGCGAGCCATGAATGTCAGTTGTCCTTGATATATTTAGAAGTAATATGTTCAGATTACAAATTTATTTTTATAAGAAAAAGAACAAAAGTTTACTATGTGATCTAATCTACCTGTAAAAGCCTTATTTTCTTCTGAATCCTTTACGAAATCTACAGCGAACTCAGATGAGAGTCATTTGATATTTACAAGTGTACAACGGAAAGCTTTTGATTGATACTTAACTAGCTAATTAAAATAACATTGAGACACTTTGTTTTTTGTTTTTGGAAAATGTAAAGATGTGTGCATGCATTCGAACTATCGTTTCTTGTGGGCAGAAACAAGTGTAATGATTCTGACATGACTTTGTTATGTTTATTTGTAGCTATATTCGTTCAGAATATATCTGAATCTAAAACCAAAAGCAAATGAAAATAAATAATACACACGATGAGAAGAAAATTAGACGAGTCTAGCGTCAAGTCAGAGGCAAGAATACAATGTAAATGAATATCAATCAAGGACAGAAGAAAGAGGGTAAGCAATTGCTTAGTTGCAAAAAGTTTGATTACGCTTGATTATTTTTCAAAAAAGTTACTTGAAAAAAGAGAAACTAGTACGAGAAGACTGCTTAGCATACAGACATTGAAGCTCATTTAATACTAAACAATTCAAACATAATCCTAGTCTCAACAATTGTAAAAAAAAAGTCCAAACAGCTCACTTCAAAAATGTATCCATAAAAAAAATTTGGGGTGGGTGTGGGGTGTGGGTGTAGGTGTGGGTGTAGATGTGGGTGTGAGTGTGGGTGTGGGTGTAGGTGTGGATGTGGGTGTGAGGGTGTGGGTGTGGGGTGTCGTTGTGGTTGTGGGTGTAAATCTTCTCATCACATCCACACCCACACATCCTCACCTACATTCACACACTCACACCCACACCGTCATTCACACATCCACACCCACACCTATAGCCACAGCCACACCCATACCACACCATCCCACCCACACCTACAGCCACACCCGCACCCACACCCACACATCAATACCCATACCTACACCCACACCCACATCCGCACCCTTTGAACTCTTGCAAGAATTTTTTCCATCTGCTTTGCTAAAAAACAAAATAATGTTCAAGCAGCAGTGTTCACATAAACGACATTACATTATGAATGTTTTTACGGTATTGAAAAGTTTTTGTTCTGCGGGAATATTTTTCTATACTGGTCGTTTTCTCGCTCCATTTCTTATGACAATGGGAACTCCATTAAGTATTGGTGTTACCGCATTGTTTTCTCGTATTTGCATACATATTCAGATACATCCAACCGAGCCATCCGATAGGTATTTCGACGCGTCGATTTTGGCTTCCGTTGGGCATCGAAATTTCAAATCGACTCCTGGAATTGCCATTTTCCGATGGGATGAGAGCTCGGCGATAGATTGTTTTTACTAACAGTTTTCAACCACTGGAATGGTCGTTTCCGATGAATCGGAATTTGATCGAAAAAAAGAATTTTTGTCTGCTAGATGTCTCAATTTCGAGCTGTCCAAACCCATCGAGTATAAATTTCGAGTCGTCGAAACCTATCGGATATATGCGGAGAAGTAGATTTGAACATGGGTACTTACGATTCACTTTCGTCAAACAGTTGATCTAAATATGAACTATTATTCTCATATCAAAACGACCTTTTTTATTCATCAGAAGATAGTACTTTTTATTCCTTTTTTTTATGTAAATTTGAAAAAGTCTTCTTCAACAGACGAAACGTCACTTTAATGTAAATAAATATATAATTTTAATTTAAATTAATTGTGGAAGAGTATCAAATTATGTCAAAACTCCTTTTCATGCTTTCTAACTTTTAATTTTATTTTTTGAACAGTAAAAATAATATTTTTTATTGAGAAAAATTTTTTTATCATGAAAAAAATTTCATCAGGAAAGAAAAACTTTTTATATCTCTATAAGTGGCACAAGAACTTTTTTTTTAATTTAAGACTTCGTATAAATCACTTATTGAATAAATATGACGTGCAATATGTGATAATCAATCAATTTGCATGTGGAAGCATGAGGTCAATATTTAGCAATTTTTTCTTAATTCACAACCTGAAAATTCATTATTACTATGTCTTAGTCAGAAACACAGACGAATTTTAGTTTCAATCGATGGGGGATAAATTTCGATCAGAAAATTCTAAAATTAAGGTGAGTTATGAAGCAAACTTGAATAATTCTAATAAAATTATTGAATAAAAATAAAGAATATTTTAAAACCGGATTTTGAAGAAGTTTTACATGATCAAGATTATTGACTCATCTGTCAAAACTGTTATTATGATCGATTTGACTCTTTTGAAACACTCAAAATGATTCTTTCAATATGTTTGTTTTAGTCGAGTGATTAAAATGTGTTAGAGGAGTCGATAGGTGACTTCTCTCGGAGCACTCGAAACTTCGATGAGTACCGAGGTGTGGAAATATATACCACTGGTCAAAAATGAGTCGTCGATAGGATACAGTATCCGAGTGCTCGAAATCCGAAGGGTGTCGAGGGGATCGAAATTGAAACAGAACGAAAAAAAAAATATATATATCAGATTTTCGACCGCTCTTCGCATCCATCGTATGCTTTTATTGGTCTACTTGGGATGTATGTAACAGCTTTTTATTTTTACGTAACTAACCTACTGTAGCTCCAATCATAATTATATTTTTAATTTCAAGTCATGTCACGATTACCTTAAAATCTAAAAATAAAACAGGAATATGAATTCCTGAAGTCTTACGATAGAAGTGTAAATCGCCGAGCTGAGT